AATAAAACTGACATTTTTCTCAAATTGTCATGGAATGCACTCCAGCTGTATTTATTATACACACTTTCCCCATGTACTATGTGCTTGCATTCTTTTATGATGAACGATGCTGCCATGTGTTGGAGTTTTCGTGCTATCTTTCTTTGAATCAGGAATGTGTAGGAGGTTATTTGAGGGCAAAATACTGTAGGACCTCTCTTCATATTTCTGAATTTGTAGCATGGAGCTGAGCAGTGGCTGAATGGCTGGGTTTAGGGGAGTTCRCTGGAAGCAGAACACAGCCTGCTAATGCTACCAGTGGACTTGTGCCTTGCTGCTCATCTTGCTGTGTCTACAATAATTGAGGCTCAGAACTCCATCTGTTGTTTTCTGACTTTTCCTTTGAAGTCTTTGGACATAAATTTTACCTTTCTGTTAAGGTAAATTGTGGGCCTAGGCCATGCCTAATACTCCCAGACACTAAGGCAGCAGTAAATAATGCATTACCATGAATCATTGCAGATCATAGAAATTAATAAACTTGGCTGCCACCCAAACCTGGGGAAGCATTTCACCCCAGGGAGGCCTCTGACTCCATCATGGAGCATACAAGAAAGCAAGCTGATCTTGTGGTATGCAGCAAATATAAAGATCCGGTTTCAGAAAGGGAAAGAAATGACACAACATGTAATGCCATAAAAGCCATATGCCATTTCACAGGATATTACTCACATGGCACAGACCTTCACAGTGACATCCACTTTGATTGCTACTTTACTCTTATGTTGTGACTATATGCTCAAGTTATAGGAAAAATGATGAAGGTAAACAGAATGTAGCTTAAGTTTAATGAGAAAGTTTCCAAGAAATACAARTCCATTTGTGGGAAAACTTTTCTGTTTCTCCTGTGATAGCAGTTTTCTCATAAACATGTTGAATTTTGAAATGTCTTCCGCATTTTTTTCTTCCAATGGAAACAAAAAAATGGACTGGCATCCCAAGTTTCCTCTTCCTAGATGATCCTGTTTTTTAGTGCTGTAACCACTTGGCCAGCATTGCTTTCTGATTTTCTCTGACCTCTCTCTTGCTTTCCAGGCTGCACAGTGGTTTACTTGGAGATTGTTTCCTTCTTTGACCCCAGTGAAAAGTAGTGGTTAGGTTATTCACATCCTGGTTTCCTAGGATGTGAATGCAATGGCTTCAGCTCTTTGAGAAAGGTCCAGCTCTCCCACTACTGGGCAAGGGCTGTAATCACTCAGCTGTTATGCAGAATCTGCACTTTTCCTGTTCTCTGAAATGAAGTCAGTGCCAACATTTCCTTCTCCTCCCATGATCTCAGTGCTAAGGGTAAATATTCCGAGAAGGGAATCCCTTAAGGATGTATGCAGAATTTAAGGGCCAGTCTGCCTAAATCTAGATTGCAACAGAGCAGAAGATGAGGTGCCTGGATGGCTCTGCAGACTGGAAGGACAGAATGTTGTTCACAACAGGTGCCATCACTGCAGGAACTTGTCAGTCATGACATGCTGAAACATAGAGACACCTGGAAGTTTAGATGATTTGAATCTGGATCCCTCTCAGGTGCATCGGCAGAATTCCAGCAAAAGAAAATTTACTGGGTGTCTGTAACATTGGCTAMAACACTCAGCAAAGTGTTGAAAAGWACCYAAATACATTTCCAGGGAGTAGATTTGAGCRCAGAGGATGTTGATGGGAAGTAGGCCTGGAGATTGACTGTGCAGTCAGGGTGGCTTTGCTGAAGCAATGGAAGAAATATTATCAGAGAAATTCTGTGTTCAGTCTCTTGGAGGGTGTAGTGTGCTGGCCTTGGCTGGATCCCCAGCACCCACCAAASCTTCTCTATCACTCCTCCCTGCAACTGGACAGGGGAGAGAAAACATAACAAAGGGTTCGTGGGTTGAGATTAGGACTGGGAGAGATCATTCACCAAATACTGTAACAGACAAAACAGACTGGAATAGGGGATATTAACTGAATTTATTACTAACAAAATCAGAGCAGGATAATGAAAAGTAAAATAAGAAATTAAAAATATCTTCCCCCACCACTCCTTCCTTCCCAGTTCCATCTCCAGCAGCACAGGGAGATGGGGAAAAGGGGTTATAGTCACTATGTCTCTGCTGAGACAGAGRAGTCCTTCCCCTGCTCCAGCATGGGGTCCCTCCCATGGGAGACATTTCCCCACACACTGCCGCAATGTAGGTCCCTCTTCCATGGGATGCAGTTCTTCAAGGAYAGCCTGCTCCAGCATGGGTCCCCCACAGGGTACAAATCCTACCAGGAAACCTGCTCCAGCATGGGCTCTGCTCTCCATGGATCTGCAGGTCCCTGCCAGGARCATGCTCTACCACAGGTCTTCCATGGGCTCACAGCTKTCTCTCAGGCATCCACCTATTCCAGTGTGGGGTGGTCCATGCACTGCAGGTGGATCTCTAATCCCCTGTGGACCTCGATGGACTGCAGGGAGACAGTTGTTTCTCATAGTCTGCACCACAGACTGCAGGGGAATCTCATCTTTGGTGCCTGGAGCACCAAWKACATCTGCACAATAACTTCTTTTTTTTTTTTACTCTTCTTCAATATGTTATCACAGAGTCATTGCCACCATTTTTGATTGGCCCAGCCTTGGCCAGCGGCACATCTGTCATGGAGCCTCTTGGGATTGGCTCTGTTGAACATGGAGGAAGTTTCCAGCAGCTTCTCACAGAAGACATCCTGCAGATCCCCTCACTTCCAAAATCTGGCCATGCAAACCCAATAYAGGGGGGCTGCCTCCCTGGGCAGGGATCTGTCCTGTTGGTAGGACAAAGCATGAAGACTTTCATAATCAGAGGACGAATGTTCACAAAGCAGARAAGAGATGAGCTCAAATGATGTTTGAGAGTCATATTTTAATTTTTCTAATTATTTGGATTATAACTAGCATCTRTGGCCATTTCTGAGTGCTCTTACCAAAAAGTTTAAAACATGCTCATATACATCTGGGATGGTTTAAAACTGAAAATGAAGACAGARAACATCCAGAAATCATTGGAAAGGCATCATTTAGCCCCTTGCAAACTCAGCCTTTTAAATGCAGGAAGAATGTAGATGTACTAGCATGGCATAGGTCTCTGCCAGACTCTTCTTGGGATAATGATTCAAAGTCCTTGGCTGTTTCCACGGAGAAGGAAAATAGGGATGYTTTCTACAAAAACACATTCCTTGCTGTGTACCTAGATATGATGTAGGATCCAGCGTGGACGAGCATGAGTCATGTGCTCCACATGCCTTCTAGCACTTTGTAAGTAGGCAGTGAAACGCTGGCTCATGAGTCATCAGCTTCCAGTGAGTGGGCAGTCAAATCCTGCATAAGCTGATTTTCAGAACCATTTCTAATGGGCAAATATAGCATGGGCAAATTATTTTGGTTTTGTTTGTGCTTCCTGGACTTCAGTTTTGGCCAAGGCCCTATGTTATTAGGCCTGACATATCCTGCAAGTTTTATTTTCTGCCATTCYGACACTGACATGCTTGTCCAGAGAAGATTCACCATCTGCTTCTCTGCAAGCAGTTTGCATTTTCTTCAGCATTACAACAAAATCAAGGAACTGAATGGAAATAGCAAACAAGAAAAATAACCTATACTATTTCTCCCACWTTTAGGGCTGCTTTGGCATCAAACTATGGTTCTGTTGAGTCTTCAATTCAAAAAATATTTTTTCTCTTTCACTAGTTCTACTTTTAGTGTCATTAAATGATATAAAATAGATGTAATCCTCTGTCCTGCTATTTCAAAACTTCACCTAAAACTTCATACAGCCACAAAAATCCTACCACTCTTTGAATCAGAGCTCCTACTGAAGCAAAAAATACCCTCTAATGAGTTTCACGGGTGCCCCGCCCTGCTTGTACTCTTTACTCCCAGGGTTACACATGGGTCAGACACTCCCTCCACCTTTATATGAACTGCAGAAAGAGGGCACTTTACCCCCTTCCATTCTTCCCTGGACCCTTGGCATGTGGCTCATGAGAAGCTAAAAAAAAAAAAAATAATGGCAGCTTTTTAGATCATAAGACAGCCAGCTCAAACTGGATTGGATGAGAACACTCAGCATCGCTCCTTGGACTTGGCATCTCCCAGAAAACCAGCCTTGCTCTGCTGCCAGCTGCCACTGCCGGGCTATCTCGAGGAGCAACGCGTGCATCACAATGCCTGGTGGAGCTGTTCCACTGACTTACAAGGCTATTGTGTTTGAAAGCTGCTGGGTACAAGCATTTTAAAAAAAAAAAAAAAAAACTTTTTCATAATATAAAAATCACTATCTGGTGCAACTTTGCCTCTAACCCAAACTAAACATGAAGACCAGTAAATGCAAACTGGTTGCAAAGTGTAGCAATTCCCCTTCTTCCTTGGCTGCTGCTCGGCTGCACAGCCGCTGTGCCGGCGCACAGGAGGCGACCTCTGGATATCCAGCGTCCTCCAGGGACACCTGATGGAGCAGGACTAGACTGTAAATCAGTAACAAAGCCTGTACCCTCCCGGATCCTGAGGGCCTCACGTACTGCCCGAACAGTAGTAGTTTCTTGGAAAACCTCTTTGTTTCACCCGAACTGCAGAGCAGTTGCGTGCACGGCTTCTCCCCCTTTCCCTCCTGCTTTCTGGATCACATTTCAGCCAGGGCGGGGATGGGGGATTGGGGCAAGTGGGATCCCCATGGACGGGATTCTCTGCGGATAAACGCGCTTCCCGAGGTGGGGGATGCGAGGAAGCGGCCKCACCGCACCGGAGCGGGGCAGGGCAGGGTAGGTCAGGTCAGGCTGCCCTCCGGGGATGTCCCCCAGCCCCGCTCTGCCCCGGGCGGTCCCCGCGGGTCCCGGGGCGCTGCGCCGCGGACAAAGGGGCAGCGCTGGCGGGACGGAGCCGGGGGCTGGCCGGCGGCGCGGCGGGGCCGGAGCGCTACGCCCCGGCGGCCGGAAGACARGGCGGGGGGTGAGGGGTGGGGAGAGGGGAGGGCGGCTCGGCCCGGCTGAAAAGGAGGGCTCGCCCGCCCGCCCGGCGCCCCCCCCGCCCTCGGTGCTGCCCCGCACCATGGCGCTGTCCTGGAGGAGCTGGCTGGCCAACGAGGGGAGCAAGCACCTCTTCCTGGTAGGGGCGGCCCCGGGGGTTCCCCTCGGCGGCGCTGACCCGCGCAGGGGGCTCAGCAGGGGCTGTGAGGGGGCCGGCAGGCGGCGGGGCCGGCCCGGCCCGGGGGCTGTCCCGGCGCGGTGCGGGGGTCCCGGCGCGGTGCGGGGGTCCCGGCGCGGTGCGGGGGTCCCGCCGTGCCCGGCCAGCGGGAGTGGGGCGGGGATGCCGTGCGGGATGCCGCGGCTCGGCCGGGTGCGGGGGATGTGCTCCGTGCGCGTCCCGGTGCGCGGCTGGCAGGGATGGATGCCGCTGCCATGGCCTGGGACAGTGCCGGCGTCCGTGCCCTGCCGGCTCGRCACACGCTGTGCGAGCGCTCGCTCTTTGTTGGGCTCTCTTTGGGAAAGTTGGGGTGAGAAGATGCAGCTTCTTGGAGGTCAAGTTCTTTCTTCCTTTGTCTCTTCGTTGCTGGTTTTTATTCTTTGAGTCTCTTAACTGAGAATAGCCAGCTGAAGATTTGGGGTAATGTCTTGTGTGTGGGTGATTTGCCAGCTTTCGGTTGTCTTGAGACACGAAAAGTTTTGTGAAGCTGAATGAAAGTGAAAATTTCCCACATAGGGGCTCTTCCTTTTAGTATTTTAAAATACACTGCATGCTCGAAGTTTGATTTCCCATTCTATTTACRTATGTTTATGAAACTGCAGACCTATGCGTTTTATGAATGAAATGAACACTGAAAAGTTTGCACGTGTAACTTTCACTTACAATCCCTTGTTTCTGTTTCATTTCAGTTTTTCTGGCTCTCCCTCAATGTATGGCTCTTCGGGAAAACCTTCCTGCTTTATAATCAAGGGCTACAGTATTATTATTTGCATCAGATGTTAGGGGTGAGTGACCTGGACATTACTTTTTGCCTTGGAAATTGGGATGCTTGAGGATGGGAAAGGGGCTGAATGCATTTGCTAATCAAAGATGACACAAACTGCCTGTTAACTTTTCAAAGTGGGGGAAGATCAAGTAAGAAATTAGTGGGATACTTCTGATAGTTGTTTAGGAGTAGAAAGTGAGCACTGTTGAGAAGTAAAAGAGCCAGTCAAGTGTGGGATAGCTATTCTTTCCCCTCCTCTCTTCCCTCCCGGTGTTTCCAGCAGCAGACAGGCTCACAGGAACACAGACATGCTCAACAAATAACTGGACCTCCACTTTTCGTCATCAAAACAGTAAGCAAGCTATGGACTCACAATGGCAAATTCTTTCCAATCCAGTTATTGTAATAGACATATTTGTTGAGGGACTTCTTTTTATAAGTTGTAGTTCTTTTCAGTCTTTGCAATTCTCATAGATTCTTTGTTCTGTGTAAATTCACCATAATGCATATAACTCTAGTTTTATTATCAAATAATAATTTATTGGATTCTGAGTGGTTTAATGARGATTCATATATTTTGATTTAGCAGGGGCAACACCCACTACCAAATGATAAACCCAAAGATAAACCCAAAAAGATAATTTGGAGATGTGAGATACCAGCCTGCCTTGGGAAGTTATCAACAGCTATGTCATTGCAGACATTTGAAAAAAAAAATCTTCTATCTAAAGGGATGGAGTAAGAGTTAACATCTCTCTGGAAAATGCTCAAGAGTTGCTTATAATTTGAGAATCCAGGAAAAGTGGCTGAATAACATGATGCTTTGTATCACTATGTGATACTCAGGAATGGATTTCAATAGAAAGTTGACATGGGATTCAACACAGGAATGATGCACATCCTAGCTTGCTGTAGAGCCTCTGGGTTTTATTTTTGATAAATCCACGATATATAGTTTCATGTGGCTGATGCTGTCATAACTAGCTAGATCCTTAAGGTTTTGTGATCTTGCCTCAAAATAAGTTAACTTGATACAATTTTCTCCTTTTTTCTTTCTCCTTATTCAGATTGTGTTCAAGAATGAATCTTAGCAAAGGTAGTGCAAAAAAGAAGAGAATGAATGTATTTAAATCCTTCATGATGCTGACTTTCTTGACAGAAAAAGCATGAAAATTAGTTTAATTTTACCTTATTTTYTCATGGCTTTGCAGCCCAGCGTATCCATTTGAAAACTGTGTTTGTTCCTGGCAGAGCAAATGGGTTGTTTGTAAAGCAGATGTTCTTGGGTAATATGTTGGACCAGACTGTCAGCTGGTATCAATCAGCATGTTTCTCTCAATTCAGATGACTCGTCTGCCTCACACCAGCTCATCATTTGGTTGCTTTTTTTTTTTTTTGGTTTTCAAGAGGATGGACACTTGCAAAGTAACTTAATGTGTGTTCAGAACCTGTGAGATGACTGAGGCAACAGATTCCTTGTCTTGGTCAAGAAATGAGGACCAGGAGGWCATGCTTTTGCATTTGAATTACTGTGTCTGCTACTGTGTGAAAAAGTACCACAGAAATTTAGGGACTTCTAAAATAAGCTTGAAATTGAAGAGCTAAGTTTAAAAGTTGGTCAAAGTTTTGAAACTAATAAAAAAACCTAAAATTACTAAACATTGTAAAAAGTACTTGCAATTCACTTTTTACAGTTCATCTAAATATCTTCAGTAGATTCCAAAGTTAGCTTTCTCCCTTCTCTTTTGTATATGTGTGTATGTGTATTAAACATAGTGAATATTTTTCAAGGGTTGGGAAAACTGAACCCAATTTGCTTTCTTCATGAGATGGCATGAGCAATACTACACCTGCAGTTGCTTTCCAYGGGGATTTTTACAGCTTTTCATTTTCTCTGTTGGTTTGTATTGCCACTGACCCATGGCCCTTCTGCATAAACAGTCTCCTCTCTGTTCTGTGCTTGTGTGAGTGGTTTGCAGAGCCTCTCTGCCATTTCTTGGTGTCTGAAGATTTTGAGATTTAGATTAAGTTCTTCATTTATAGTTCAACACTTGATATTTTTTGTCTTAACAGATTGARCTCTTTTATTGATACATCCATGACAACTGATTCCTTATTCCAGACAGCTAACAAAATTGCCAAAAAGGAGTGGTACTTTTTTAATTTWAAAAAAAAGTTTATCTGTTTTTTCTGTGAGGTCTCCAGCAGTTGGCATTTTTTTTCTTTCTTAGTGTGCTACAACAGGCTATAATCTCCTTATGAACTTCTGTATTTGCAGCATGGAAAGATTTACCACAGGTAATTTTGTTGTTTACCAAGTAACGGAATGGAGAACAAGAGGAGTTCTGTAGGAAATCAGATTGTGATGTGAAAAGAAGTCTCGGACTGAATATTCGGAGTGTATTCAACTGTGCCATGTTTTCATGCCATGTCTTCTTTCTGATGTGAAGAAGGAGAAAGATTGAAGTTAGTTTTTTATTCAGTGGTCACTGAAGTGATTTACTTCACTTCAGCTGTCTACAGAAGAACAAGACTCAGATTTATTCTTTCCCAATTGCATTCTCGGCAATGTTAAACAAGATAGTTTAAAACAGGATTTTTAAAAATTATTTAGGTACCTCTCACTCAGTCCTTCAATGACAATCTTTCATATCTGTAATTCTATACCTGTTAAAAGGCACTAAGCGCACGGTGGTATCCTGGAAGTGCAAAGAGAGGAAATGAGTGAAAAGTGCTGTTGGGCTAGGGGAAGAGTAATCAGCYTTTTCTGTACTATGAAACTTAGTGTTATTTTGTGTCAAATATCTCTGCTTTGCTCACTTTGAGTTCTGTTGATGAGACCATGAACTCTTCATTGTGGAATCTCCATCCCTGAGGGTTTTCAAAACCTAATCAAGCAAAAAAAACTGAGCAAAGTTAATCTGAGTTTAGTTCTGAACATGCTTAGAAGTGGAGGCCTGAGTATAGACATCCTGAGGTCCCTTCCAACCAGAATAATTCTGTGGTTACATAATGCTTGGAGTGAAAGTTCACCAGAACCTCGTCCCTTTCCAGTACTTTTGCTTTGAKGAACCATCCTTTTGGATATTGAATTGTTTGTAACACTGCAGGTTGTAGTCTCAGCATTAATCGTGTTAATTAAGATAAGCAATCTCATTTTTTTAATGATTTGATAAATGTTAACTTGTGGTCTTACATTGCTTAAAGAAGAGAAGCCAGTGAAGAAATCCCCAACAGACAYGAATTTCTTATAAAGGAGGTTGGCAAAGACGAAAGGAATATTTTMATTTTCATGTTAGTGATAAGTACTATAATGTGTAGTAGGTATGAGTTATAGAAAGGAAGAATATTAAATTACTTGACTCCAAAGTCTTTTTGGAGGTTTTGAGTCAGTGAAATTGTCCAGATGACGGATTTCTTTACAGACTTCAGGATTTCTCCCTTCAGACTAGCTTGGCTGTATTTTGTCCAACAAGCTTGCTTTTGCCTGGTCAAAAAAAATAGGCATAAATTTGGTACTGGCCTTATAGAACTCAGTCCCTGCATTTAACAGCATTGAATGAAATACTTGTTTCTTGCTGTTTGAGCTCCCCATGAGCAGAAAGAGCTTTGAGCTCATTTTGTCATGGCATGAAAGGTCTCTCTTTCCCTATTCCTCTCCTGTCCCTTCTCAAATAACTGTAATGTAGTCAAATGTTAATGCAAGAGATAAGCTTCTGGATTTCCGACCAAAGTGGGGAAAATGCGTTCTCAGAAGGATCTCTTAGGGAAAAGAGTGAATAAGTGAAAATGAGGCTGAAAAGAATAAGTGCTGCCTCACTTTTTTTATCTATACAGTTTCTGCCTTCTTGCTGTGCAGTGTTATGCATAGCATTTGTCACCTTTATTCACTGCTTGGAATATGTTCCAGATGTTCTAGTAACTTTCATGTCTCTCCTTGCTAGTTTATCATAACCGGATTTTACTAATTGAGACTAAATTCCACTTCCATTGATGGTTATGCAACCACACTGCAACCTGCTTAATCCTCACATCTCAGCATTGGAGTAAGCTGTGTTTCTTAATCCTTTATGTTCCTCAGTGCAGTGTGTTTTTGAGATTTAGATGCCTTTTAACCAGGCTATTTGGGAGTTGCTCTTCAGAGTGTTACACATAGTGAAAATGTCTAATAATAGATTTWTGTTGCTATGGTTGCTGTATATATAGATATATATACAGAGTTCCCTACTGAAGACTAAGGGTGTTAATCCACAAGACTTTATCATGATAGTTCCCTTGAATTTTCAAGTAAATMACTTCCTAMATTCTCTGCCTCATTTAAATTTTTTTCATTTGCCAAAATATATCTTTTTCCTTCAACCATTTGTCCTCCACAGCCCACAGTTCAGCATCATTGCTGAGATTTATTATCGGTTATAACCAGTGATGAACTTGGGTATTGTACCATATATTTCTTTTGCTTGTGTTCTTTCCTTTTTTTTTTTTTTTTTTTTTTTTTTTTTTTTTTTTTTTTTTTTTTTTTTTTTTTTTTTTTTTTTTTTTTACTTTTCTCTCTCTTTTTTTTCTTTTTTTTTTTTCCCAAGTTCAAATAGCACTAATCCAGTGAAGGACACTTACATTACTAAATTTTATGGGAAACCTCCCACCATTGCAGAACTTCTTGTGAAACTGTCAGTAGTGGAGATTGAGTTGGTAGAGGTGCATCTCAAATGATTAATTGAAAGTTTTGCTATTGTATCCTCTAGACTTGCAGTGTGTTATGCATCTCTCAGAGGGACTTGAGTACCCCCAGTCCCATGGTTCATGATCAGATTTATGGAGTTWAGTTCATGTTGCGTCTTGCAGGATCAGCATTCAAGCTCTTGTTGCTAATTAATATATATAACACTGTCACTCTGTGTGGTGTTGCTGTAGAAGAAGGATGGGCTGGAACACCCAAATCTGGAAAAAAAGCTTGAGATCCCTTCCTGTCTATGTGTGCATCATTCTGCCTGGCACAAAAAAAAAAAGTGTAACTCA